CGGTTTGGATAATGTGTGGTAAGATACACTATTTTGTGGGCTCCAAATTTTTTTTTTTTTATATATTCAAACATCTCAATGTCTAGATGATCAATTAGAGGGTTTTTCAACATCCAAATAACTTTTTATGATGGGTTTTTTAGGTGCATCTTTAATTCTAGGGAAATTATCATAAATATATTTTAATTTTTGTCTCTTTAGAAAAAATAACTTTTAACTTTCGTAAACCTCATTTGCATCATTTTTTTTCAATTTTCATTGTTGTTTTACTAAAATAACCTTCATAGTAGTTGTATTACCATGAAGGCACCGTAAAAACCAATCCATGTTATATGGTATTGTAAGTACCATAAAAATTAATTCATGTTATACGGTATTTTAAGTATTATAAAAATTAACCTATGTTATCCGGCATTTTAAATAGCGTAAAAATTAACCTATGTTATATGATTCTCAAAAGGTGGTAAACCTTTTTCTCCTGTTCATATTTATTTTTGTCATCTCTCTATTATTATTATTATTATTATTATTATTATTATTATATATTTTTATCTTCTTTTCCTCTCTAAATTTTTTTTAATATTTATCTATTCTTTCTCTCTCTAAATCTTCTCTTATTAACGATCTTTCTCTCTCTATTTCATCAACTCAACAAACACGATTCCAACGTGATACAAATCTGATTCCGATGAAAGAGATAAATATAAACAGGATATGAAAGTGCCATATAACATCGGTTAGTTTTTATAGTACCTATTACATGGGTTAGTTTTCACGGTACTTCAAATGTCGTCAAACATGAGTTAGTTTTTACGGAACTAAAAATGTCATATAACATTTTAGTTTTTACAGTACATCAAGTACTGTAATTGTGTTTCACGGTAATACGACTATCGTAAAGGTTATTGAAGACTATTTTGGTTGTGGGCGATGTTTCTGAAAGTTAAATATTTTTTTTCTAAATTGATAAAAATTAAAGTATATTTGTGATAATTTTCTAAATATCCAAAATTGTATAAACTCTTTTCAAATTTAAAAAAAAAGACACCTAATTTCACCCCAAATCTATAAGCACCTTTCTCTAGTCTTCCTGTGATTGGTCTGCGTTCCTAATTCCTAACACTTGGATTCCAAATTTTAGTTTTATAGAGCATATTTTCCACCACGCGCAGTGTCCTTGGATTCTAATAAGATTGGGTTAGAAGAGGGATTGGATTTTAAGAAGAAGATTGTAACTGGGGGCCGGACCAGACCACCTAAATACGAGTAGGACTAAGCGCGGGCCAATGCGCTCCAACAGGTAAGCCATTGGGCCACGTGGTTGTGAGTAGGGCTCGGTAGGGGTGGGGTGGCAACGGGTGGGGTTGGGTTTGGGTCCAGGCCTGGACCCAAAAACAATGATATGGGAATCTTACCCGACCTAACCCGAATTCATCGAACCTGGACCTAGACCCGATCCAAAATTAAAATATCTATGTATTTAACTATATTTAAATATACTTCATAAATTGAGACCTTAAAAATATTATCGGATCTAGACCTGAATAGTGTTTAGGTCCAAGATATGGACCTAGACCCGACCAGACCGGTCCAATTTTTGGACCCATATTCAGACACAAATCGGGTCTACCCCTCAAGACTCGGGTTTGGATCCATTGCCACCCCTAAGTGGAAGGTATGCTTGGTGCAATGCCCTCCGGCCCTTTGGGGTCCAAGTTGCGAACCCGTGCCATGGCTAGGGATAGGTAGCCCTGGCCTGGCCAAGTCCAGCTGGTTGCCAGTCCTACAGAAGAGTAGATGGTGTTTATCTACATGTACTTGATTCTCAGTTTAGTTCTTCAATTTGAGCCTAAACCCACATTTGGTCTCTCAGCAATGAGACAAAAAACTAGGTTTACAGAACTATGATTTTGAAAGTTATGTCATGACAATAACCCGTAGTATTTGTCCTGTACAAATTATCAATATAGTCGATCTCAAAAACTAATAATAATAATAACAAAAATTGTATGCATACTATGTGCCAAAAAAAATAATGTCCCAAGATTGAATAGACAATCTAATATTTGAATGGTCACATCAAAGTAGTCTTTTAAAACATGGATCGATGGAATGGATCGTCCAACCACCGATCTCTATCTAGATTGGACGAATTACCAATCCAACAAGATTGAAACTAATTGAGGAAAAGGCTTTTTAGGGTTGAAAATGCTTAAAAAATATTAATAACAATAATAACGATGTTGATTGCTTCATAGGCAATAGGATGAGAGAAAGTAGACTTAGGTAGGTTGGCCATGTGTAATACAACATTTGTTAAGAGGTACGAGTTGGTCTAAGTGGATGGCTAAAAAATTGTAAAGGTTATGCTCAAAAGGACATGGTTGGAAGTAGAGAGAAAATACATGGGTACTTATACTCATTGAAGGTATAACTCTTGATATAGCAGAATGGCGGATTGAGTTTCGTGTAGTCGACCCTAAATAGTTAGAAAAAAAACTCTAATAATGATGATGACAATGCACAAAAAAAAAAACATAATAAAGGGTGATTTTATAGTGGTGTCGGACCAATTCTCATAAAATTAGCTTGGTAACTATTGATTCTCAATTCGAATCAGCTATTCCTGATCCCAACCAATAGATTTGAAATACTGGACCAGAATTTTAAAAACTCAAAATCCACTTTTTAAATAAATAATAATTATCTTGTGACTATAAAGTGGGCTTCACAAATTTTACTAAAAAAGGAAAAAGAAAATTTAAAAGCAACTCTTGTAGAGTTTAGTGCGATCCCGTGGGGAATAATTCAATTAATACACGCTCACGCGCACAAATAATAAAGATGTGATTTTCCTTGTGTGAAAAATAACCAATATTTATGTGAAGAAAAGCAAAAATTTGACTGAAATCTAGCAAAACTCCAAGCATTAGTGATATTTAGACATGGGAAATTAGAAGTGTGAGCTACTCAACTCATAATCTCTGGTCAATTAGATTGGTGATATTTGGATTTGGATGTGGTTTGTATAAGTGGAGGCCCTGAACCATCAAAGTGAGGCACGCTTTTAAATAGTATCGAAAGATGTTTCAATTCTGAAAATCTTTGTGATGGTCTGAAAATTTAATTTTATATCTAATTATAAAATTTAAATCTCAAAAAATAGTGTAGATTGAGCAGATCTATAAATACTTGAAAAATTTTAAAAATTAGCAGTCCAAAAATGCATTATAAAATACATTATTTTAGAGACTTAAAATCCATTTTCTTTTCATATCCGTTCGTCTTGAGGTTGAGATGGATCCATTTGAGGATTTTTGAAGTGCACTTTAATTTATTTGTTTAGGGTCTCGCTCTTATATAAACTTTTTCCAATTTAACATTTAAAATTTTTAATAAAAACCTGAATTTTGCTGGTGGATGGACCTTTGAGATTACAAGGACTTATTAATGACTTCGCTGTCGTCCACAAATAAGGGATGCCAAAGTTATTGGAATAAGCACCTTCAGTTCTTTGATCACATTTCACTAAAATAAACGAAGGGAAAATGTTCTTCTATAGGTATAGTATGGTTTCCTTTTTTCTTTTCCCCCAAAAGTTATTCTACTCCCTTGGGAATATATACTGTCCATTTACTCCCTCACATAATGCTCCACTTAGATTAATTTTAGGCCCTTAAATTTTGGAGACATAACCTCTTTAACACATGGGTTAATGTCAATATTTTTTTTTTTCTTTTAAATGCACCTTCTAGGCACTGGACAAATTTATGTCACAAGATTGTGTCCAATTTTAAGAAGGTCGGATCTAAATGGTTGAAAACTTAAATTTCAATTTTTTTTTTTTAAATAATCATTTAGTAACTCTTAAGTGGTTCGCAAAATTTCATATTGAAGAAATCCTCCCAAATAGGTTATGTGACCGAAGAAGTAGAATTGAACTATGCTCCTAAGTGATCATTGTATACACACTCTTTTTTTTTTTTGTTAAAAAATTTATTGAAAAAATCTATATAAAGTTGCAACCTTAAAATGTTGGATTAAGGTGCGCATCTAAAATCCATTATAAAGGTTGTTTTGATGTTCGAAAATCCTCTAATTGATCATCTCGACATAAAAAATATATAAATATGAAAAGAAAAATAGATTTTGAGTCCTAAAAATAGTGTATTATATAACACAGTATTTGGATCGTCCATTTTGAAGATTTTCAAGTGTCTATAGATGTACTTGATTTGAACCATTTTTGGAGTTTAAAATTTCAATTCATAATTAAAAATGAAAATAGATTCTCAAGCCATCTTTATAATTTTTTATACCAAAGTTATATTGGAAAATGTTTATATAGCTCTAGACAATCAAATTAGTGCCCACTTCAAAATTTTCACTAGAAGATGTTCATTTGATGTCCAAATATCGTCAAATTGATCTTCTCGATATTAAGATGCATGAACATGAAAAAAAATGGATTTCAAGTTTTGAAAAAAATGCACCTTGTAACGCATTTTTGAACTGTTAATTTTAAAAAAATTTCAAGGTTTTATAGATCTACTCATTTTAAACTATTTTTAAAGTTTTAAATTTTATAATTATAGATGAAAATATATTTTAAGGCTATCACAAAGATTTCCATTATTGAAACTACATTTTTCGATACTATTTGAAGGTGGACTTTATTTTGATTGTTTAGAGCCTCAGCTCTATACAAATGTCACCCAATTATCCATAATTTAGAAAAATAAATTTAATTATATTTAGGAAAAGTATAAAATGAGACAATTTTTTTGGTATAAGATGGTCACAATTAATTTTGTCCATTATAAATAAAATTAGATGGCTGCATTTATTCTATTATAAGTTTATAACACATCTATGCTATCAAATTTTACATCCGATGGCTATGCATAATTGTGACCTCGTAAGATAAACGGTACACGGTATACAATCGTTTATATATATGATAAAATTTGGAAATACGCCTTGATGTGATTGTTTAAGGTCGAAACCTTATGCAAACCCCACCCAAAATTTATTGATGTCAGGGCAATTACATGAGAGGAGAGGCATGGACACGCAACCGTGAGGAGAGAGAAACAGAGGCCATGAACAAAAGTCACTTGACCATGTAGAGAGAGAGAGTGAGGAGCCATGGTTATGGAAGTGAGAAAAGGTCCTTATAGGGCATGAAGCATGGACCAGAAAATGCTCGTCCAAAGTCGCAAAACACCTGCATTCGATTGGGAGACACAAGCTTAAGGGAACTGGGCAAAGGGTATAATCCGAGAGAGAGAGAACCCAAAACCCCAACATGGAGAACCCATCTCAAAGAACCAGAGCCAGCATCATTGATGGCTTGGGGGAAGAAATAATCAGAATAGTGACCCCTGTTTCTATCTGCATGTTCCTTGTAGTCTTACTGGTCTGTATCATTAACCCATCTTCTTCTTCTGATGATTCCTCTTCAATCACAACCATAGCCACAATAATCTATGATGAGAAAACCTCTGATTCAGATTGGACCAAACTCACTGGTGCTCTCTTAAATGCTCTGGTTTTTGTAGCATTTGTAACAGTCGTTACATTTCTATTAGTCCTCCTTTTCTATTGCAGATGCATAAAATTCCTCAAATATTATATGGTTTTCTCCGCTTTTGTTGTTTTGTTCTTTATGGGTGGTGGGATTTCGTTGTTTCTTATTCAAACCCTATCTTTTCCCATAGATTGCATCACATTTGGGGTTCTCTGGTTCAATTTCTCCATAGTGGGGGTGTTAAGTTTCTCAATGGAGAAAAACCCAATTTTTATTACACAAAGTTACCTTGTTTTTATTGGGATTATTGTGGCTTACTGGTTCTGTCTTTTACCTGAATGGACCACTTGGGTCTTGTTAATTGCCATGGCTGTCTACGATCTTTTTGCTGTTTTGGTACCCGGAGGTCCTTTAAGGCTTTTAGTTGAGCTTTCTGTGTCAAGAGATGAGGAAATCCCTGCTCTTCTTTATGAGGCTAGGCCTGTTGAGTTTCCTGGTCCTGATCAGGTCAATGGCCGTAGACGATTGTGGAGGGAGAGAGAAATTCTTGGTTCCGGTTCTGACTCTGGTTCTACCAGTAATGGTTTGGGTTCAGCTCTAGGGAACTTGGTGGCTTCGAGTGACCATGGGGTTAATATTTTGAATTTGCAATCGCATATGGGTACTGAATCACAGAGAGAGACAAAGTTGGTTGTGGCCGAAGAGACTCAACTTATTGGTGGTTCTGGTTCTAGTATAAAATCAACTCTAGGAAAACTTCTAGCTTTAGAAAACAGAAGGGCTAATGTTTCGGAACTGAATTTGGGTTCTGAACCAGAGATGGATTTGAGCTTGATTTCCGTCGAAGATGGTCGATCTACTGGTGATTCGGTTACAGAAACTGGGTCTCCAACAATCCAGGATTCTTCCTCTAGATATCTAGAAACAATGGAAACTCATGTAGAGTTTACTGGTAATTCAGTTACTGAAATTGGGTCTGAGGAATCTCGCCCTTTAATTGATCGAAGAATTGGATTCTCTTCTAATAGAGGATCAGAAACAATGGAAATTCATGTAGAGAGGAGGCCAAATTTAACAGAAGTTCAGCAAAATGAGGCAATGGAGATTGGTTCTTCGAGGGGTATCAAGCTTGGTCTGGGTGACTTCATTTTCTATAGTGTGCTTGTTGGGAGGGCAGCCATGTATGATTTCATGGCTATGTATGCTTGCTACCTTGCAATTATTGCTGGGCTTGGTGTAACTCTCATGCTCTTGGCTTTCTACCAAAAAGCATTGCCAGCTCTCCCAGTGTCTATATTGCTCGGTATTGTGTTCTATTTCTTGACTCGCCTCCTTTTGGAAGGCTTTGTCGTTCAATGTTCACTGAATCTGATAATTTTTTAGATATGGAAAGAGAATGGTTCCTTATGTGTCATTCATTGTGATGGAAGACTTTGCTTGTTTCAGCAATTGATCTTTCTTTTGCATTAGTTTCAAATTCTTTCATCATATTCTTTTGCTTGCTGTGACCAACTTACACTCTCTGCCAAACGGAGCTGCAATGTGTTCGATATAATATTGTAAAGGGGAATGATGTCATGTCATCGTGTCACTAATGGGGAAAGATTACAAAAGAGTAATGGGTTAAAAGTCTGAAAAGCATGAGGGAGATCAGCCCTAAATCCTTAACAGAAATAACTCATGATTACCTTCTTGGATGCAGTCCATGCTTGATTGATAGTATGCGCTTGAAATTCATGGGATGCACACATTAGCACTATTGGGTTCCGAAGAGTTAAAATAGTGATAATTACCTCCTCAGATGCATTCATACTTGATTGATAGGGATAGAATGAAAATGAAATTCACAGGGTGCAGTACATCAGTACTATTATGATTCAAGGAGTTAAAGTGCTTTAACAATAGTTTGATTGCTTCTTCCTGTCTCCTTGACCCAATGTCCATCTTTGCAAAAATCATGTGTCTTGTCCTCACCCCAGATGGGTAGTCAATACATGAAAGAATTTGTGTATTCCAATTCCAGCCTCAATCCATGCACCCTCTGTCAACATATTGCTTTCTCTCTTCAAGAGTTTGCAATTTTTCGTACAGGTCTCATTTGATGACCCTTAATGAGCTCCTCTATTATCTTCAACACTTTTGATGACCTCTTAAAGGTTTCTGAAGATTATTATTTTTTCTATAGTTTGAGGTATGTTTGATCTTGTGATTTCAAGGAAAACTTTGTTGAGTGGATGTTTCTCACATAAATTCCACGAATCTTATGACTTTCCATGATGAGTATTTCCTGTCTTCTTTTTCTTTTCATTTTGATTGACGACTTCTACAAACTAGGTCAATATCTAAATCTACCCCTAGGTTTCCTACTTTACCATTGCTGCCATAGGGTACTCATGAGGCATAACCCAGTTTTCTACATGGTTGATCTCTCTGAGTTCCATTGCTTCAATGGTTTCTAGAATTGTGCTTTATACTTGGGGAACTAGTTGTGAATTCAATAAATCAGGAGGTCAGTTTAATCAATCAAAGGACGTTTTGCTTTTGTCATAACAAATTTAGCTATATCTCATTCCATTTTCTGAAGGTCCCTCGTAAAGCTTCGATCAATGTTTGGCTTCACTGATCTTTGATGTACTTGTCATTTCTCTCAACTAGATTGATTCTAAGTCTTCAGCCTTTGAATTTTCAGTCACTGCTACTAAGAGATTTTGCTGAATGTTGTGGGCTGATATGCTAAAGGTTCTATTTTTGTACTTCTCTGTTTAGCTAAGCAGGAAAAAACTATATGTTGAAGATTATATTCAAGGGCTTCTTTTGTTCCATTAATGATTTGGAGAACATTGAATCTTAAAATTGCATCAAGGCTTTACTCCTGTACGCAATACATTAAACTTGGATATCTGGTCCAAAGAATAAGAAAAGATATACATTAAACTTGGAGAATGTGCAATGTGCTTGCATGGGCTCTTGCAGATGTCTCATGATATACGAATCTCGCTTTATGATTACACACATTCATCATCATCAAAAGCTTTTTCCCAACTATTCAGGGTCGGCTATACAAATCTCTCTATGATTACACGCATTCATCACCAAAAGCCTTTTTCCTACCATTCAAGGTCGGCTACACAAATTCTGGTCTGTCATTCTGCTCTTATCAATGACCATGTTCTCAGCGAGGCCATACCTCTCTATATTTTTTCTCACTACTTTTAATTATGTCATGATTACGCATTCTATTACCAAATCATAATTCTAATTCATGATTTAAACCTCATAAACCAATTAAGCGTTAGTATGAGTATCTATATATGCTCAAGAAAGGTTTGCAGTACTTTGATTTTGGTCATCAACTTTGGTTGATTTCTTTTTTCTTTTTTCTTTTTTCTTTTTTCTTGAGAAAATTTCATACTTCTTCCATTTCTTTTGTCAGCTTTGATCCTTCTCAGTTATAGTTCATATACCATTAAGTCTACTATATAAGGACCTGCATCTGTAGGCTTCACCTTGATTCTCTTTTGTGGTGAAGGTTTGGTATTTTGTATTGGGGGATCCAAATTGTATAATATTTAATTTTCATTAGATGCTAAGTAATTTTCAATTGTATAATATTTAACTTTCATTATATGCTAAGTAATTTTCAAATCTTCGATGTTAAGTACATTTCAAATCTTCGATTTTGCAGTCATCTTATCACTAGGGCACCAATGGCCCTAACTGTGTGGGGTTGAGCATCTTATTCAGGGTGTATACTACTAAGCATTGCACTTCCACTCTCTCTCTCTCTCTCTGTTTTGTTCTTTTTTCTTTATGTGAATTGGTCTTCAAAAATATGTTGAAATTGTTTTGTTACTACACATTATAAAGGTGTCGGTTTGAAAGAGCATAATGTAAAATGACTTCAGATGATATACCAATTATCAGGGATAATACTACTCTGTTTGGATAACAAGATTTCCAAGATGTGCATCGAAAATAAGGCATTGGTCAGCAATGAGTCACATAAATGACCGGTCTTGCTCAGAATCTCATTGTTTTAAGTACCTGGCTCATTCTTTGCTTAGTATGTGAAATCTAACATTCGAAAAATTTTATTTTGGACATTGTGCTCTATAACACGATCCAACAACCCCATTTCACATGCAACTTTCAATAATAATTGTGATCTTTTTATATTAAAAAATAAATGGTCATACACTTCCATAAATGAAAAAGTAAGAACGTGCCAAAAAGAGTTCATTTTTTGCCGAGAGAGAGAAAGAAAGAGAGAGAGAGGGAGAGAGACCACATATGGCGGAGGTTCATGCATTTCACTATCTTATTAAGAAATAACTCAAAAAGTTCAAGGCAATTCAATTCAAGTACCGGAAAGCACTCAAGCATTCCAAAACCATACAGATGCTATCGAAATTGCCACAAAATTGGTTTTCTTGCAGTAATAGGTGGTTTGAAACAGAATCCAATTGGCGAAATGAATATAATATACATGATTCTTTATTATAATGATAGAAGTCATAAATTGGGATCAGCATAAACACAATTCACAAGGGAATCAATTTCTTGTGCTTGTAATACCACAAAAGAGAAATGAATATCAACCCACCGAAGATACCGGTTATAATCATAAACACATTTCACTAGGGAATCAATTTCTTGTGCTTGTAATACCACAAAAAAGAAATGAATATCAACCCACCGAAGATAGCGGTTATAATCATAACCCAAACAAAGGCAGGTGCATAATGGAATAAACTAATCACAATATTCATTCCGAACACCCCTGCCACCGCTGCGAAAATAGTAACGACGAATGTGCCCGTTGTTAGCAACAGTTCAAACTGGATCAACTGGTTGCGAATGTTATCCTATAAAAGATAAAGTAAGATAGATTTAGAAAAACGAAAAAAAAATTTCTTTTTTTCTTTTAATTTTTTTGGCTAGACTAAAAGAATAGCTTTAACTTGTAGGGTTTTATGGGACAGACTTCAACGTTCCAACTCTTGATATCCGGCTAACCAAACCGGGTTGTCTACAAGTAAGCTGTGGCTCAAGGGACAGCAGAAACAGCAAAAGACATCTCTCTCTCTCTCTCTCTCTCTCTCTCTCAGACAGTTATATTAGAAGGTATGCTCACCAGTTTAATGTTAATGAAAATCTCAGTATCATCGATATACTCTTTGAGCTGCAAATTCAAGAAAAAAATATTAGACTTTTCTGAGCAAAACACTTCATGAATGAAAAACTAAATGCAAGAAAGATTGTGTGCATTGTTCTTTACAAATAGTAGAAACTCTTTGCTTGGTATTAGCCAGCTTTGGGAAATGATTGGCTAAGGTCACATGTAGTTCACTATTTGTAAACTGCATACATCACTACATGAGCCCCATGTAAACCTGTGGCATATTCCAAAACTACTGATACAAATTCATGTTTCTGTTCTTCCCTGTGGACAGCCTATTGACAATGCATAGTTCAAAGTGCACCAAAATGATTTTGATTTCTAAGTTTGGGTGAGAAAGGGGGATACTCCTCTTGAAATAACAACTATTTCACAAAAGAAATGGGGACATTTTTGGTTACTATGATCAAAATGTTATTAAAAAAAAAAACTCTAAACAATACGTGACAAAATTTCAATTTTGTAACTAAGACCCAATTTTTTTTTTTATGAAAACTAAGATAAAAATTAAGAGAAATAATATGGTATTTATTTGTCGGGACATAAAAACATTACTGTTTATTTTATCTTTCAAAAGATGATTTTCTAAAGATATTTAAATACTAAGGGCATGTTTGGTACGCGTGAAATAACTTCATCAAAGTATTTTCACATGAAAGAACAACTCCATGTAATTAGATGTGGGAGTTTTTTCACAACAATTGACTGCCAATTAGTGTAAAAAAAGGCGTTGGAACCAATTGGTGCAAAAAAACTCTCACATCTAATCACGTTAGGGAGTTCTTTCATGTGAAAATACTTTTACATGCATCAAATGTACCCTAAAATATTTACGCATACAATATATCATAGAAGGGTGTGAAGTATTCGATTGAAAAGATGTGTATAAAGAACAACATGGAAGTTGTATTCCTATTCTTAAACACTGTTTTAAATTTGAAACAGTAAGTACCACAAGCCTGAAAGTTGTGTGCTTATGCATGACTTGTTCTAGTATGGTGCAAGTCTCCTGTGTGAATGAAACAAGGTGAAACAAATATCATAAAATCTACATGTCCAAGCATATATGAAATATGAGTTGGGCTCTTGAATCTTAGTCTCTAGGAAATTCCAAGAAGGTATTACCTCTTGTCAAAGAAATGTTGGTAATTTTCACATATAAAACAATAGTAATACACACTTGGTTGCTTTTGAATCTCAGCTCTGAGAAAGTAATGCATGAGAATAACCAATCACAAAAAAATGTTAATGTTCCAATGATTAGAAGTCATAGCTCAATGGGAAGATGAGAATGTTTCAGCCATGAGGTTGTATTCCCAAATGGATCTTACCTATTAAAAAGGAAATAAGAGGGGGTATTTTGGTACATTTACCAAATCAACCAAATTACTATAATAATTGAACAGTAAAAGAAGTCCCTATTTTCACATGCAAGTATGAGAAATAAGAGGTTGAGGGTATTTTGATCAATGCATTACAGATTCATCAATGCGTTACGGATTGGGTATATCAGAAGGCAAAGCCAAAGATTTTCATTTCCGAAAGGTAGGTAAACAACAAAGTTGAAAGAAAAACAAATCTTTCCCCAAGAAACAACCGAACTCAAATCATATGCCATTTAAAACTTCAGAATGTATGCATAGTCCAAAGGAATATGCTCTATGGTGCTCGAAGTCTCCATCCACTTACAAAAAGTTGGAGATTAACTGGAGCAGGGCACACAGAAACAGTCACCCAGGTACAATTAATGTCAACACTTCATGAGTAGGAATAAGCAAAAATGTTGCTTGGAGTACCTTATATACAACAGTCCAGCGGACTATGATACATTCTCCCTCTAATTTTAAACATACATATTCTTACCGACAATAGTTTGTTGAGAGTGCCATCTATCACAACGAAATATGCTTCGAGTAACATTTCGAGCTCCTCCACGTGCTCCCCATCAATCCTACTTCGACTCATAGCACTACTCAAAGCTTTCTCTATCTTGCCTGAACCACTATGAGAAAGTGGTGATACTGGTGCAGACATTGATGCTCTTGGAAAACCAGCGAAGTTTGAGATATAGAGTTCACTAGAAGCATAAGCCTTGTTTCTTTCTTTCTTCTCAGTAAGATACATCTCAGCCATGTCACCATCATCATCCATAAGATGCTCTATTTCATCGCGAACCTGGGGAATGAACAGCTCATTCATTTAGGGCTCAAGGAAAATAAAAAGAGAAAAAGGGAATGCAAATATTTATGTTGGGAGTTAGGATGATGGATTTATATGCAATTGTCAAAAATGATAATGTAGTGTAGTCCTGTGGACCATGGAAATGGGGTCATCACCAGAGAGTGGGACCCACAACTGGGCCTAGGTACTGCTCTGTGAGGTTCCCATCTCTCTCCATCACCACCCATTACTTCATTAGAGGTCATGGCTCATAAATATGCTTTCCCATAGTTCATTGGAATGTACAGTAAACAAAGGATTGGTTTATTAAGTACCTTCTGTACCCTCCGAGTCAAGGCTAAAATATGGCTTTTCATTCTTCGGACTCGTTCTAGATTCAGAGTGCTGATTGATGAGGCAAGCTCATCAAGCACTGGGTAAATTTCGATTTCTAATTCCGTCACCTGGAGGAAGTGCAGGTAGTTGGTTTAGAATCACAACAGAACCATTTTGAGGAAAACAATGCTCTAAAGTTATATTCCTGTGCTACAATAGAAGATTGCAGGGAGTTGTATTTTTCCAATTTTATTTATTTTGGATAGCATGGGGGGAGAGGGCGAGGATTTTGTGGCCAGGTGGGTTCCAAACCCTGCTATCTCTGTCAGCACAACAAAAACACTATCAATCCCAGTTTTTTCCATTTTGCATTTTGTTTAGTAAGTAAAGACACTGCTTGTTGCGTTACGGGACAGTGATCATACTACATTAGCTTAAATGATAATTCCATAACAGATTAATGGATAATAATGATGAGAGAAGCATGTTCCAAAAGAACTCTAAATTTGGCTGGGACTGTCAGAGACTGGCCTGAAAATCTCCACACTGAAATGGTTCTCGTTGAAAATTATTTCATACCAGCTAAAACAGATAAATGTACTCAGGCACTTCCATTATGTACTGGTTTGAGTGTAATGCTTAGTTAGACACACAAAACATCCAAAGCATCACATTATATGACAAAGGCCCAACATTGGAAAAGTCAAAAGTCAATCATTATTGTAAACTTACAGTGTATAAGATTATACATGGTCAATTAGCATTGGTTTGGAAACCACAACACCAAAAGATCATCCTATATCATTATCTTTCCGAACATCACCAGGCAACAGAAGGCCATCATCCTTGAAGGCAGAGACCAAAGCTACAAATGATGGAAAATGAAAATAAGAAGCAAATGGGATTTCTACGTTGATGAATACAATCGTAAGGTAGTTGGCCCAACATTTGAAGGTTGAGTGGCCCAAAAAGGTGATTTTGAGCATTGTAAGATGTTATTTCCTACCATAAAGGAAAGTCCTGAGGAAGACCACACTAAGATACCAAATCCAATAAAAAGAAAAGTGTGACATTCATTAGGGAACAAGAACGAGATGTTAAGAAAAAAGACTATAGTCTCACTTGGGTGACTAAAATGTGTTCAAAATCAAATCTCTTCTTTTCAGCACCTCTCTTGCCACCATTATTGCAAAAAGCATTACGAAAAGGGTGTCAAATCCATTATATTCTAATCCACAACAATCAGAAATAGACCTATTTGGTTGACTAGAAGCAATACTTGTGTTGAAAACTCGAGTATTCCCATAGATTGTGGTAGTTTTACACTTTTACTAGAGCCACAGCCCTCGGCAATGGATGCTTAAACACAATATTTTAATCATGAGATCTGTTACCAAACCAAGCAACAAAAAGGTTAGCCATAAATTAGTGATTTTGTAGAAAGGCAACATACCTGAGCATCCAGAAGGGCGCATGCTAGCTCCAAAGCTACCTCCAATGCTCGAAATTCAAAGGGTAAGTCATCTGCTGCAATTTTATAACAAACTTCAGTTTCATAAGGCACAAAATTAGTGTGTGTGAGAGAGAGAGAGAGAGAGAGAGAGAGAGAGAAAATGAATGGAAAACAATACGAAGCAGGCAATGCCTACCCGCATTCCAAAGGTTGTTTCCCCAAATTATCAAAAGTTAAATGCCTTACCACTCAAATTTTTATTCATGTCAAGACGCCTGAGCAGTTCTAATTCATATTGACGAACACAACTGTCCAGGGAATTCATCAAGAGAACCTCATCGGCTGTTATTATGCATCGTATTTGTTCTAAATTGACAATGATCGCCTTTTCTCGCCCTAATATAGTGGTGGGATACACAAACAATGGATCCAAGAGACGGAGATCTCTAGCTGGTAGATTACATCTTCTCATCAATGAAGCCTTGTCCAACTCTAAAACTTCAGACTGTCCATCTACATCTATACGTATCCATGACCGGCTCCCTTGGCCTCTCTTCTTCACTACCGAGAAGTCCAATCCCGAAAGCACTGGCCTCCCGCCACCAAATAATTGGTTTACTGACTTAGAACGAACCGAATAACTGGGAGGAATAAAAGGATCTCTAAGCCCAGCCATAGTTTCCTCTAGAGAATTTCAAAAAGTATCTTATCTTGCACATTTCAAAATTCATGTGATTGTTCTAAATTCGAGCAGCCAAGATATAGAAACAAACATCAGAGAAAGATTACCATCCCCATACCTCCATTCCTAGAGGAGCACTCATATAGCAAACAAATGTCTTGGGGCCTTAATGAACAGTCACATGTAAACTGCAACTCTAAAAGTCCATTCAAATATATAAAAGCTCAAACCAAGATGAGAAGCACTAATCCAGAAGCAATGATTCCTCTTTCTCCTTCCACTTCCACTTCTAATTATTGTAGTTCTTGTTATTCGGTGGGCAAAGTCTGAACGTTACGAACAAGCTGCTTAACCCGAGCAGAACAATACTGCGGTCCGAGAAAATCAAGAAGCAAGAGTTTTCCTTCTCCAATCCATCATCCCAACGTTATAGCAACTTTGATCCTTTGTTAATGGAATCTCTAATCTGTAAAACCCAAGAGAGAGAAACGAACTATCTCCCATCAATTACCAGAAAATGAAACAAAATCGCGTCCTACTTCCACTGTTAGAAATTCTACCCAAAGTATCATACAACGAAAGAATACACAACCAGTAAACAACTTACTTGAACTTTTTGAAAATCTCAGTGGAATAGGCAAAACCAAACAGAAAGAAACGGTTCACGACGCTAATTAATTTAATCCCCTCTTTCTTCGATGCATAAGAACCCAATAAGTTGTTTCTTATTTGACAACCAAGTTGAACCACATAGTAAAGCCTTTCGTGAACAATTTCTTGATATTCCAGAAAAATCAAAAGACAAGAGAGAGAGAAGGCCCCAAATACTCAAAACCCCATTCAGAAAACTTATTTCTTCAGAAGCTAAAATGCATCCAACATTCACAAACAACAATTCTTCAGAACACTCTGAAACCCAAGTGAGGAATCTCCCCATGAATTGTCTATTCTTATAAACACCTTTCCACAAATTTTCAATTGAAATCTGAATTCTAAAATACAGTAATTATCACTGAAGAAGTGAAGATTACATAAGCTTGTCACCCAACAGATAGAAGCAGTAAATGGATAGAGAGAGAATATCGACCACTTACCTCAAATAATTGGTATAACAAATAGGGGACAGAGAGAAAGAGATGGAATATATAGATATATATATATATAGGAGAGAGACAGAGAGAGAGACAGTGGTCCCTTTGGATGCAAGGAGGCGTTGGCCATGCTTTTCTGCCGCCATGAAAGTTCTCAGAACCTTCCCTCATCCGATTCATAACCATTCTCTCTCTTGTTTCTGTTTTAAGCTTCAGTAATTATGTGGGTCAGAATTTGATGAAAGTCTTGACTTCACTGCACAGTAAAAATTCAGAAGTTACGTTAAATTCATGGAAAATTAGAAACCTTTCATGGTAAGAAATCTCTCTCTCTCTCTCTAACGTAACAAAGCAAAAGAGACGCTTCAAAGAAGTAACTCCTAAATAAATCTCAGCCATTTGATTTGAAGAAAAGTCAGGAGCTTTGAATTTGACGATTTTGAACTCATCAAAAAGTATATCATCTCCCTCTCTAAAGAGTGGAAGTTTAGACTTTAGAGAGAAAAATATGGGACACTTTCATTTTGAGAGGAAGTGGGGTTCTAGAGAGAGAAATCTGCGAGCTTCGATGATCCCATTATGAGCAAAGTTGAACCAGTAGATTTACATCTCTCTCATGTGAGAGTTTTGCATCCACAAAGATAGAAATCCTCTAAATTTGGTTGTCCTCTAAATTTGGTGGAGCATTATGTCACCAATAATTTCAAATGGAAAAAGTCAGTTATTAAGCAATTGCTTCTTGAAGCATGTGGAAAATTTGAATTAATTTAAATTTTCCATTCAGGTATCACCAATAATTTGATTAATACACGTCAATTATTAAGTTATATCCTCTTGAATTTTAGAGAAATATTGGAAAAGATAACTATACATTTACACTCTCCACTTGTATATATTTTACTTATATTTTTCGTTTCCTAGTTGTCCAATTTGTATAGATGGTTGAGATGACCCCAATCACAATGTCATGTCAAAATACTGTTTTACTTGCTAATTTTTTCTATAAATGATTTTTTCTATAATTGATATTGACCGAAATTTGGGGCATCTAATTCTCTCCTAAACTTGTACAACTAAAAATATATAAAAAAAAATGTTCTTGATAAAATAAAATGATTAAAATATTTTAAAAAATTTTAAAAGTATTTTGATCATGAATATTTTTTAAAATATTATTTTTAGGTGTATTCTATAGAGATGATGACACACCAAATTTCATATTTATGTAGTTTGTGAAAAAATTTAAAATTAAGATACCATGAGGCGATCAAACAGTTAATGACTCACGCATAATATAATGATTGATGAAGCTATCTCAATTAAAATCGGCTTTGAGGTGAGAGATATTGATAAAATATATGTGGGTAGGGATGAAGAATAAGCTCGCGCCTTGTCTAAATGCTTGAATTCACCCCAAGGCTGTGGAGAAATAAATGCAATACACAGAGAAAAAGAGATGCTAGTTACTTTACATGATCTCAACTGTGTGGATAGGAGTGAGATATGGAATTATCATCCACAAGGTACAGAGAGAGAGAGGAATAATAAATGTTTCACGTGGAGAGAGAGAGACACAATTAATGAGAGTTTGCAGTATATTTAATGAATGGTGCGGTTTTGCATAGATCTTAGGTTTTAAATAATTAAATTAGAGTCCATCTTCAAATGGTATTGGGAAACGTGGTTTCAAATTCCAATACTGAAAATCTTTGTCAGCTTTAAAATGTATTTTTATTTTTATTTATAAAGTTTGAAGTTTAAAAAATAGTATATATATATAGATCTAATAAAAATCTTAAAAATTGACGGTCCAAAAAATATGTTACAACATACATTATTTTTAAAATTTAAAATCTATTTTTTTTGTCATGATCATACATATTTGATGTCAAGATGATCAATTTAATGATATTTGAACATCAAAACAACCTCTTTTAATGAAATTTTTATGGTAGACTCCAATTTGATTGTTTAGAGCCTCTGCTCTATATGAACTTTCGTATTAAGGAATGCTCAAAAAACTTTCATGGTTGTTTCTTTGCCTTGTCATCTACTACGAACTTTAGCAACTAACAACTTTACAGTATTTTAAAACCTGCTGATTTTTTATTCAGATCACCGATATGGACGTAGGATATGTCGCAAGCGAACTGGTTCCAGGATAATATAGGCCCCGGCTCGATTTCTCCTTAAAACCCCTCGTTTCAATTTTTTTTTTTCCCTTTTTTTCTTTAACCTTATCTAATGTTGTTTTTGTTCCCCCTTTAAATCCCCAACTCATATGAGATCGCTGATCCACATCATCATTGTCATCATCAAAGCTTTTTTCCAATTAATTGAAATCGACTACACCAATTGTGATCCGCTATTCTGCCTAGATCACTAATCCTACTTATCTAAAAACAATCCGGATCATTGATGCAGCTGATCTAGATCGGGATCAGAGGTTAATGATCTACCCACCAATGCATTTCTTTAAACGCTAGTTTAACTCAAAAAGACATTATGTAATATAAGAATGAAAGGTAAAACTTTATAATTTCTAGTTTGGTCCCCACAAGAAATTCCAGAAATGGGGTTTAAAGACTAGCATCCAAATAGCCTGACTACACTAAATTTCCATGGAAAATGACTGTGTTTACCAAGTTGGGTATTTTGTTTAGATTTCTTAAATTTGGATATAGAATATCATCAAACAGACAAATTATCTCTTGCTCATCAAATGAGGCAAGAGAATATGTAAATCTACAAACAACATTATAAAAGAACACAAAACCTCTCTACATAACTCAAAGGAGGTACCATTGTTCTTGGATTTGAAAGAACAAAAAGAGTAAAGAAAATCTCCTTGGAACTTAGGGGACTAATACTGTTGATGTTTTAATGGAATGAAATGAGAAGAGAAATCTCTATATAATTCTTATGTATGAACTTTTCATGAATTTAATGAAGAAAGAACACAAAAACCTGCTTTAAATAACTTTGGCAGCTGACAGGTACAATAGTTCATGAATTTAATAGGTCAAAAAGCAAAGAAAAGACTAGCTAACTTAGAGGCATGGTATGGCTCATGATTCAATTGATAAATAGGAAGGAGGACGAGAAGGGCAACCCTCTTGTGTACCATAGGATGATGCGAATTTCATCTTCGCCGAGGATTATGTAATAGTCTCGGCGAACCCTCAAACAAATCCAGAAGGTATGTTTCCAAATCCTCTGCTGAATATTTCATGTATCTCTCTGAATGCCTCACTCCCTCCAATTGGTTCCTATACCTCCCTATGAACATACGATAAGCTTGCAAAATCTTCATCGAAATGGAGATTTGCAGGTCTTCTCGAAGTTGTGGGTCTCGAACATGCCAACCTGTTTGGTTCCTATAAAGCTCCTCAAAAGCAAGGTTGAAACTCTTGAACCTCTCCTTGAGAAGAGCATTGGAAGAGGAGCTTGAACCCCCTAAACCTTCATCTCTCAAACAGTGGAGAACCTCATTCCATGAAGCTCTCTCATAGCTCATCTCGTGCTTTCGAAAAACACGGCTATGGGCTCTTACCCAATCATCACCAAGAAGAGCACTGAGCCCCTCTGACTCCCTAACCTTCTGAAACATGTAATGGATATTGTTCATCAGGAAGAAGTGCCTGAGAGACTCATCCCTGTACAATTGGGACTTGGCGTCAAGATTGGATTCTAAATCATGGGTTAGAGAGAGTAAGCACTGAGCCATAGGAGAAGCTCGGACCGAATCTGTTAAATACCCATCATTTTCTTCCTCTTCATGTTGGGTCAATGAACTGTGTAATGGCCCCCTGCTATCGAGAAGAGGATTGAGAATATCGCTATAAGTAGCAAGGGTCCTTATGTAGTTCATGACATACCTTGTGAGATGGTGAACCCCACCTCCCGCAAAAGGATTAGCAGATGTTTCTTTTCGAATGGCTTCCTCAAAATCAACAAGAGTTCTCTTTACATATTCACCCAATCTTGCTAAAACTTCACGAGCTTCTCCTCGAACACTAAAACCCATATCTTCAGGGAACAACGAGTTAATATCAGGGAGAAGATCAGCCAAACGTTCATACATGTCGATTACACAATACAGTCTATCTGTAGAACGATGGGTTATGGCCACCGCTTCCCCAAAATTTAGAAGCTGCATAATTGGGCCCTTCGTTATCTCAACAAAACAAGCCTCACTAGTTGACCCAAGATCCCCAAATATTTGATCACATAGATATTTTTCACTCACAAGAATAAACCGAACAAACAATTTGATGGCTCGAATCCACCTCCTTATCATGGACTCCAAGTATTTCCAATCCATCCTTTGAACTTCCTCAATACTCAGCTTCTCCACTTTGAGGATAAAGAGGAACTCATCCAAAGCATCTCTTCTTATACTAGTGTAGGCTTGGAAACACTCCCTATCATAATTTGACGAGTACATGAGCTTGGCTATCCTTTTTAGTTCGGGAATCATCTCAGGGACAATTAAATCCATCTGAAATTGTTCGATGGCATTGGAATTATCACCCAACTTCGATTTACATTCATCAACTTGAAAATCAGAAGAGCTTATTGAATCCCTGTCTGCCAAGTCATCTTCGCTAGAGCGAAACGAGGTGAAATCAGGCTCCAATGGTTGCCTACATTGAACCAATACATAAATGAATTCTTCCTCAAGCTTAGCCATAGCTATCTGGAGAAGACTATGAGCTCGATCCAGAATCTCTTTCACTCTCTCATCTGTAATCAAGGATGATTTCTCTAACTGATCTACCAATTCTCGAACTTGATCTACTGCTTGCAAATACTGGAAAGCTTCTTCAGGGTCTCGATCCCATATCATGGATGATCCAACACTCTCAGAAGGACCACTTTCAAAACCCATTATTTTTTCTTCTATGACTTCAAGTGTCTCTTCCAATTCATCGATCTCTCTCTTGCTATCTAGCCTTTGGGTCATGGTGGATAAATGACCATCGAAACTAGACAACATCTTCATGCCATTTGCCATCCTCTGATATGCATCCATAGTCTTGACCACAGATTTTGGAGTGGATATCACCTGTTTGTCTCCTGTGCTTGCAGCCATTGTTTTTCACTTTACACACACAGATGTGTATGTGCAGGGGCGCGCAAACACACACACGCGGGTGTGGGGGGGGGGAGAGAGAGAGAGGCAGACAGGGATGCCAAGGAATTCAGAATTAAAATAGAGCACAGCCAATGGGTAAAGGGCCCAACAATTATGACTGAAACTTCAAACCAACCCAATATCCAGATCACCGATAGCTCCAATTGCCTATTTTCAAAGCCCAAATTATCCTCTAAGAGGATTGGTATGAAAGGGTTAGAATTCAGGTCAGAAAGAACAGGATAAACAGCCAACTGGTTTAACAAGGTAATTCCCCAAAGCCGGGATGCAATTGAAACAAATTCAGAAACCAATCTAGGACTTTCCACTCTTTCAAATGGCTCACTTTCTTCCTTTCAAGAGCTTGTGTTTGCCCTCAAAGCTCAATACATAATGGATTGAAAGAGTTATTTCTCATAGATGGTTCAGACTTCATACCAGAGTTAAAAATCAAGCAAAAACCTTAACATTTAAAACACAAAATCTATTAAGTGGATGATAGAACAAAAAGAAACAAAATTAGAACAAAAAAATTGGCTTAACCTTTGAAAGATCCCCAAATTAAAACCTATCTTTCACCAAATAGTTTTAGAAAAAGATAAAGGATGAAGCACACAATATTTCATTTAGAATAAAAGATAAAGAAAATCTTCACATAATATAAGAGGAATTTCAGAAACACAATAATATCGACATGAAAATTACACACAAGACCCTAAAACAAATAAAAAAAGGTACTATCAAGCTAAAATGCACCCAATTAAACACAAAAGGCCAAATTTAACTTAAAAATACAATACACCGCTAAATCTACCAAATTCAAAGCAAAACACTTAAATATCACTCCTTTGAAGCCTTAACCAACTTCTTATTGATCCGATGAATCATACTAAACAAAGAAATCTGACTAAATAACACAGAAAAGTACAGAGCTCAAATTTATTTTAAATTTCAAACTCTAAAATGTCTCAAACATTCTCCAATTCAACAGAAGTAATAAAAAATCAAGATAAATTAAAATTTTCAAAACCATCACCAAAATTTTCATAGATGAACAAAATCGAGCGAAATGGGAGCTGAAATCCTGAAAGTAAGAGGGAAATGAAAAGAGAACCTGTCAAACCAAACAGACTCTCTTCAGCAGCCTATGCAGAGACAAAGATCTCGAAACCCTAATTCCTTGGTCCAAAATATCTGAAAGAGTGTCTGAAACTTCGTGGAAAGAAACCCTAAATTTTCTTCTTTCAAACCCTCATTTCCCTCATTGATTCCTTTTTCAACTACTTGACAAGGAGTCTTCTAAAATAAAGTTCAAGATTTACTGCGCCTCTTTTTGCGCTTCACTTTAGGGAGCTAAATTGCCCTTTTATAAACAATAAAAATGACAACTACACCCATAAACCAAATGTCCCTTACATACATACGGGTGCGGTTTGTATCGAGCCGAGGCTCTAAACAATCAAAGTTGAGTGCACATTCAAATAGTATCCAGAAATATGGTTTTAATATTGAAAATCTTTGTGATGGCTTTTAAAATATATTTTTATTTTTAATTATAAAATTTAAAACTTAAAAATTAGTGTAGATTGAGCGGATCTATGAAAACTTGAAATTCTTAACAATCGATGGTCCAAAAATGCGTTACAAGATGCATTATTTTTAAAACTTGAAATCTATTTTTTTTCTCACGCCCATGCATTTTGATGTCAAGATGATCAATTTGAAGAATTTGAGCATCAAAACAACCTCTTCTAGTGAAATATTTTAGGTAGGCTCTAATTTGATTGTTTAAGACCTCGGCTTTGTATAAACATTTTCCTTTACATTTTTTTGAAATTGAGGTTGCCCCCAAATTTGCAAATTTGTGAGATATTTGTTAGAGGAAAATAACTGTAGAGTAGAGCCCTAGATCCCTAGATTTAATCTAGAATGCCTGAGAAGTCCTAGAACTTTGTTATGGTCAATGAGGGTGAGCTTCAGATTGGTCCAGATTTATTAGACTCGGATATGTGTGTGGTGGGTTTAGATCTACCCAGTGACACATCAAATTGACATAATGCAATAATTTTTTGTCAAAATTTTCATTGAACAAGCATTATATGCTCCATATATTGTTCAGAGCGTATAATGAAGCAACATAACTAAACAAAAGAATTATATCAAATAACAAAAACAACAACACTAGATACAGGATATTTGTTAGGAAAAAAAAAAAGAACCTTAATATAGGATTGCATTTTACAAAGAAAAATTGTTTCATGCAGGCTGGACCGCGTTTCTACATATGCGGTCTAGAAAATGTGAAGCATCCATCTCAAAGATGGATGCAAGTAGTGATCCATCTAAAAATAATAGAAACTAACAGTCCAAATGTTTTCTTACTAGAATTATTATTTTTAGTTTTTAAATTTTATTAATGTTCATAATCTCCATGTTAGAGATTACATATCCTTAAAAATTAAGTCTTAAAATCCATCTCAAAAATATATTTATTAAGAGGCCTACATTTCTACATATGCAGACTTGGTTGGCCGAATAGAAACCAGGTCCATTAGTAAAAACCTAGAATTCTAAGATGTGAAAATATTCAGTTGAGATAAAAACAAATAACTTTTCATAAAAAAAACTTCTTAAAAAAAGAAAGATAAAATACACCTCCAAATGAAAAACATGATTTTTTGAAGATTTCTTGAAACAGTTAAAGTGTTTTCAATGGATTTTAAAAAATTCGAAAATTTAGAAAACTTTCTTTTTAAATTGAGGCATGCTAACCATGGTTAACACTAGGCATGATTAAAATGTTACCGTATATGTAAAAAAGAAAAAATTTATTTAAGGTTGCAACCTTAAAATGTATAATTAAGATGTACCTCGAAAATCCATAAAAGGTTGTTTTGATGTTGGAAACCCCTCTAATTGACATCTCCACATCGAGATGAATGAATATGGAAAAAAAAAAAGAACAAGAAGATTTCGAGTCTTAAAAATATTATCCCTTGCAACACATTATTTGAACCGTCCATTTTCAAGTAATTATAGATGTAGTTGATTTGAACTACTTCTGGAGTTTAAAAATTTATAATTAGAGATAAAAATAGATTCTCAAACCATCCTAAGAATTTTTTAAATCAAAATTATATTAATGATAAAATTTAAAGGCGCGTCTTAATTTGATTGTTTAAAGTTGCAACCTAATATAAATCACACCCATTTAAAAAAATTTAGGAAAAATTACATAAATATTCGTTATTACGAAAATACATGAAAATTTTTGTTATTACATATATATCCATTTTTTCAACTTCGTAACACTTTTTTTAAAAGACAGAACTGTTTATTTTCGATTTTTGAAAAATCAAAATTTTTTAATTTTCAAAACCCATTGTAATTTTGAAAACTGCTGCTTCTTTCTTCTTCTTCTTTTTTTTATTTTTTTTTATTTTTTTTAACTCTATCTATCCTGCCCAGCCGAAAATTTACTTAAGCTCTCGTATAAAAGCAAATTATATGTTGCTAGATGATTTTTAATGGGTTGGTTTCACAAAATTCTCTTTAATGGTTGTGCTAACATTGTGTGCGCGCGTAATAGAGATAGAAAGAATGGGGGGGCGAGGGAAAACGGGCATACAAGTTGTAAGATTGTTTGCTTTCATCTAACAGGGGCATAATTGTGGTGTTGCAGAGAAAGAGAGGAAATAATTGAGCATAATTGTGGTGTTGCAGAGAAAGAGAGGAAATAATTGAAGTTTTCAAATCTCCTGTTTCTGTCTTCCAAACCTCTCAAGAAAACTCCATTCACCAAATCTGAATTTTTTCTATCTACATTCATAAACCCAAATAAAATGAAATTCAAAGGTGTGCTTTTGATCGGGTCAACAAAAAAGACCTTAACCTAAAAAAGAAGAAGGATAATTTGCCGAGAAAGTTGGCGAAGAGGAAGAAGAAGGGTAAAGAGAGTGTTTCAAAAACCAAAAAACAAAAACAAAATCTATTTTTCAAAAACAAAAAATGGGCAGTTTGGTCTTGTAAAAAACAAAATGTTATAAAGTTAAAAAAACGGATATATGTGTAATAATGAAAAGTTTTAGATTTTTTTTGTAATAACAAGAAATATAACGGATATTTATATAAAAAAAAAGTGTATATAAGGTTGTAACCTAAAAATGTAGAATTACATATTCACCTAAAAAATCTATCGGAAAAGGTTGTTTTAAAATTGAAAAACCCTCGAATTGATCAACTCAACATCGAGATGTAGAAATATGATAAAAAAAAGATTTTGAGTCTTATAAATAGTGCATTTCGCAACACATTATCTAGACTGTCTATTTTCAAGATTTATTAAATTTTAATTATTTTTAAAATTTAAAATTTTATAATTAGATATAAAAATAAATTTTTAAATAATCCTAAAAAATTTTACACTAAAATTACCAAAAAAAAATTTAAAAGTACGTCTTAATTGGATGGGTTAAGGTTGCAACCCACACCCTGTATATAATTTTCCCATAAAAAAACTCAAAAAAGTCCGGGGGCCTTGATGACAATATATATGGATTTGGTATAACGTTAGATGTGAGGGTGTTTTTTGGTAAATATCTGATTTATCGTTGATGATGAAAAATATACAAGCGAAAAGGTCGGCGCCGCCTAAATAGTCAGATAATAAAAGGTCTTCTCATGTGAACAAAAGGCCAGATTGCCCTCCCTTATCGCTTAACGTACGTTTCGCATATAGCGGGAGACTGTCAAACCGTACGTTACGATGACGTGGTAAACTAAGTTTGGATAAATTATGTAAAAAGTAAAATATTTTAATATTTTCTAGTTTTAAGTTTCATTTAAGATTTTTTTTTTTTATCCCTAATCATTTTAAATTTTTTTTTTAACTTAAACAAATGTTAAAAAAATACTTTATTTTTAAACTCAATACTCTCTATTCATTTATATATCTCATATTTCTCTTTTTATCTCTCTTCCGACTTTCTCTCCTCTTGTAAATTTTCAAACATCTCTCTCCCCCCAATAACTTTTTACCTCCATAATGCTGCCCTCTCTTTTTTAAAGTTTGGAATGATGACTTTTTAAGAAAGATGCATCTTTTTATATTTATTTAGCCTAAAAAAATATGTTTAGATTAGTTTAAAGCGTCAAAAGAAATAAAATCTACAATTATTATGCTTTAAGATATCTTTTAAAGCTTTGAGTCTATTGTGAAATGAAACTTAAAAATAAGAGATATAAAAATATATTTTTTAAAAAAATAAAAAATTATAAAAAATTTGGTTTTTTTTTTTCAATTATATTTGTCAGGACTAAATTCCAAAATATCATATAATGTTTTTAAAGAATGTATGCAATGATACTATTTATATTTGATACAAAGAGGTCACAATTACTTATCACCATCCGATATAAAATCTGGAAGATAGGGTGTGTCACAACGTTCAAGAAAACGTTTTTTGAAGTTTGAACTTGGTCGATGAAATAAATATAGTTATCACATTTCACACTCAATGGTCAAGATTAATTTATTGTTCAAAAAAAAAGAAAAAAGATCAAGATTAATTGTTACCACCTTGTATCAAAAGTAAATAGTCTCATTATATAATTTTCTTAATTTTTATTATAAATTTTTTAAAGTGTAGAGACCAATCCAAGTTCTGGATCCTCAGACTGCTTTAATTGCATGAACATTGTGCAAGTCAAGCAATCCGAAAATCTAAACCTCAGGCTAGTACCTAGACTATGAACTTCACAATCCAAGGATTAGTTCGAGATCTTTGAACAGTTGGCTTCCACAATATTTATGCAAGCCAAACGGTCCATGGTTCAATAAAATCAAACTGGTATCTAGACTTAAAAAAATTAGAAAAATAAAAATAAAAAAGCAAAATGTTGTTTGGAACATTAGACAGAGGGGCAAAAATAAAGAAAATGCATAACGGTAAAAAAATATCAGTCTGCCCGTTGAAACATTGGACTAATGTACCACCTTGTAAATATTTAAAATTTTTGGACCTGCGACGTATTAACCATATTTAAATATGTAAGGGCGTAAATTTTCCTAAAAATTACTTATCCAATTCAATTTTAAACTTGGGCTTCAACTCCCGATCTTAATTTTAACAGTGTTCTCATGGGAGTTTAGTGTACACTTACTCACTCAGAGAAAGGACTTGTTTAGAAGCACTTTTTTTACTAAAATTTTGAGATCCACTTTGAGATCACCAATGAGTATTTTGAAAAAACAAATAAGTTTAAAAACTTTGTTGCGCAAAAGTTATATGTCTCTTTTCATGTTTAGGGTG